TGGTCTTTATGTTATTAAAATTGTCAGCAAAGAATGCGTGATAATAGTTCTTTTTACTCAACCTAGTAAGAGCGGAAATTTTGTTTCGATAGAGTCTATATTGTGCGAAATGCCCTGATTGAAAGAGAGAATTTTCATTTTCATGGAATTTTTGAGGCCACTGGTCATCCACGGCTTAGAAAATTTCTTAAGCTTACGTTTTGAAAGGGTTTTCAAAGGAGCATGTTTCTCGACAAGAGTAGACAGAGTGCTATAGAAATTTGAAAAAGCGTTGTCGACAGTGAACTGGTCAGAAAAATTGTTTTGGTTTGAGAGCGCCTCCGAGAGTTCAGAGTTAAACCCATTAACGGAGAAAACCAGAAAAATCTCTGCGCTTTAGCTTTCTCGCCATTGGCACCTTAAAGAAAGAGTGGGAGATACAAAACTGGGAAAAATGATCACTGACATCAGATACAGTATTGCCGCTGGTGATATTAGCACTGACTTTGTTAGCCAGAATATTATCAATTAAGGTGGCAGAGTTGTTATACACACGTGTTGGTTTATCAATAGAAGGTGTAAAGGAATAGCTTTGCAGAGAGAACAAAAATTCATGACGAGAGCTTTCGGCGTGAAGGAGGTTAATGTTGAAGTCGCCCATAATATAAACTGATTTATTCGAAACTATAAGTTTCTCAAGAGTTCGTCAAAATATTCTTGGAATCGTTGAGGACAGTTATGCTGTCTACATACAATACCACAAATTGTGTTGCATTTCGACGAGGAATGAATTTCAATCCATAAGCCCTGGAAAGCGTCATTAGAAGTTTTTTCAATAACTGTATACATCAGGGATTCCTTAATGTACAAGCCAACACCTCCAAAAGCAAGGTATCGGAACATATTCAAAAACATACCCAGGCATGTTTGGATTAAAATTCAAGTTTTCCGCGGAGATTATTCTGGTTTCAGAAACTCCTATAATGCTGAAATCATGCTAGCTTGCTAGTAAAACAGACTAGAAACTGAATAAGAATAAACATAGCCTGACACTCTCTGTGCCAACACTCATGTCCCGCATAAACCCAAACTAAATTTACAACATCAATTACAGATGGCAACTCACTAACATTAATAGACACAATAAAAAGTTTGTGCTTACTCTTATGCAAAGGTTGCTTTTGATTGTGTGACCGTTTCTGTATTCGAGTTTAGATGGGGAAATCAGAAAGCTGTATGATGTAGTAGTACATGTATAGCTGTGTATTGACATGAGAATTCTCGAACATGGTGGAGCGACCACTATGCACTAAAATGAGCATCAGTTACCGTACCCTTTAAATCGCTAAACTTCGCCGTCTTCAGCCACAGAAAAGTCAATGCTTACAACATAACACGAACAAATATGTTAAATGAGCTGTACATTGAGAATATTGATCGAAGCTCAAATGAATTTTCTCGACATTCCCAGATATTTCCTCTCAATACAAAAGGAACAAACGGTTACACAGTTTGCGTGGGTTCCCTTCATTATGCCAACCCTTAGCTGAGGCATAAACACGTTAACTATTCGACACAAATAACTGTGATTAATAGTTAAAAAAGACTGGAATAGTACCTCCAGGTGAGCCGGTAGGCGAGGTTGGCACTGTTGTGGCTTTTTCGGGAGGAATTCTTGTCCCAGTTATTGATGAGACATTAAATGTAAAACCTCCTGTAGTCCCATTCTCTACAGCAGTGCGAATTCTTGCAATCACATCTTTTTCTTTGGTAATGGAGTTAAACTTCAATGCCATGTAAACAGTTACACTGCCGCACCTTGGAAGATCAACGGGAAACATTAACAGGTTGGATGTGCAAATAGTTAAATATGAGGTTGTCGTTCGGATAAGGGAATTATTTAAAGAGAATTTTTAGAAGAAGGACATGTAAGCTGCTTACGCAAATAGGTAGGGGTTGAAAAAGCTTCACGTAAAAGAAACCACTAGCTTGACGAAACAAAACTGACACCAACTGATCAACCACTTTTGACGCAAGTAACTCAAGTACATGCACACGTACAGTCGAACTTCTCCACAGAGTCCCCTAAGGAAATAGTAGAACGGTAACGTTTGCTGCGAAGCGGTAGCAGTTAATTGGAAGCAGAGGTGTAAAATGACCTTTGCTTTTTTTTCCCTGGAGCATTTTTCAGTAAAAAAGGTGAACATAACACTCGTTGATGAAAGGAAAATTATTTCGAAATATAAATACATACAAGGAGGAAATCACTTCATACATTATCTAGTTCTAATGCAAACACGATATTTCCTCTTAACGAAGTAAAGTTCACAGGGACCAGTGAATTGTCGCACAATTTACTACACCGTTTTCTTAGTAATATTTAACCACAAGAAGAAAAGGAGACGTATTAGGTTGTATTTCAGCGAGATTCATCGTACAATTGCGGCGCAACTATATCTTGGAGGAATACCGTAAAACATCAAGCGATTGATGTCCATATCCTAAAAATGTGTACGAGGGATACCGGTGACAGAAATACGTAATCAGTTGCGTGGCCTTGTAAGAAGTTATATGAATGGGAATGATAGTGATTTGGACGAGAAATCTGTAGCAGAATTGACGAGAGCTTGTAAAAGTTAGAATCCAATTCTCCTCTACAAATATTTCACTCTCGAGTCTTCGTGCTCATACACAGAGCTTTGCTTTTCGACCATTTTCGCGAATGGGATTTCAATAATAATGTAACGCAAAAGCAGATACATGTATCAATAGTCACTGGTCAAATGAACGAGAGAGATCTTCGCAGTTATGAATGCTGCTTAAGCTGTAATGCAAAGAAGGCCTGATTCGAACTCATGACCTCTGCAACACCGGTGCAGTGCTCTACCAACTGAGCTAACAAGCCAACTGGGAGCTGGTCATTATCTTGGTTCGTAATAAACCCGTGAAGTGATGAGTCGACGTTTTGTGAATACATGAAAATCATCTATTTAAACTAAGGTTAAAGAAATTAATGAGAGCAGTCTTTACAGTAATGAACATAAATTAATATAAGCAGTAATGCAAAGAAGTTCAGCTTAAGTGGTGTTCATTACTTGCTAAGATCGCTCTCATTCATTTCTTTAACCGCAGTTCAAACATATGATTTTCATATATTTAAAAAACGTTGCCGGCAAAGTACACAGTCTGCACCTTCCTTCCGAAGAAAAAAGTGGAACTCCTAGAAAAACACTCCATTTTTGTAACGACCGGATATCTTCAGTTGGAATTTTTCGCTGGGCCATCTTTAGCAGGTTGTCCGGAGTTCTCCGCGACGAGAACCCTCCGACGCCTATGGAGGCCCATTCTGTTCAAAATTGATCGATTTCTTTTGCATTATCAGATGTCACAATGCACTGTTGAATATTGTTGGAGATTATCACTGATTTCCAATTTCCTACACCTTCTCTTGACTATTGCAAACTTACTTCAAGCAACTGAGCTATTTTCTCCTGTGTAAAGTGTGGTCACCTCCAAAGTTATTTCTGTTCCAGAGTCAAATTTCACTTTGAACTTGCACATGATGTTCTTTTAGGTCCACTCCATATTTTACGGGGCAATAAAAAGATATATGACTCCCTTCAGGTTCTGCAGAAAAAGCTGTATCCCTAATCACTCCTTCATCTTTCAATATATCTGAATGGGATTTCAAAATAACATCAAGAATTCGCGCACTTCGTCATCTTTAGTGTGCACCTTGCACACTAAAGATGACACATCACTTGCACATCAAACATGGCGACAGTCCACTACGCCTCCCGAGATGAGAAGGGCGCAAAGCATCATGAAATTAAAAGAATTCGAGGGTTCATTAAAGAATAAATCGAAGCGTCATCGAAAAAAAAAAAAACAGAAAAGAAAAGAAATAAATAAAAAAAAAGCGCAACACGTACCAAAAAACTAACACTAAAAGAATTTTGCGTTGGATGATTAAAAAATCTTCGCCACAGATTAAAAGGCAGGGAAATATGAAAAATAGAAATTGAAAAGTAAAATATTTTTTTAACTGCAAATTTAACTTTACTTAATGACCAGCTCCCAGTTGGCTTGTCAGCTCAGTTGGTAGAGTACTGCAATGGTACCGCAAAGGTCATAGGTTCAAATCCCGTACGAGCCTGAGTTTTTTTCAGGACTTATTTCCACTGCTACATATGCAGGGTTTATTACTACGAAGATCGCTCTCATACATTTCATAAAATCGCAGAACACATACATGACTTTCATATATTCAAGATTAATTGATTTATAACTTTACTTGTTGCAAAATAAATCAATCAATTTTAGAAAGAACGGGCCTCCACAGAAGCCACCAACAATAATAACATGAATTGTAAAATACGTTTACAACGATACGAGCAGGTAATAAATACCTGTAGCCCGTGACTTCTGCGCTGTTGTAGTCAAGATCCTGTGCCTTAAAGATAATGTCCATCTGCAATTTGAGAAAACAGTCTCACATCACAGCACAACCATAAGAGAAAAAAACAACGACATCAAAAAGCTGTCAAAGAAGTTAGTTACCAAGCCACTGAGCTTTTCCTTCATTGAGCTTGTATCATATTTTCCGCCGGTACACTTTTCACTTGTGATGCGTAGGGATATATTTACTGTTTTTGCTGCTATGGCTACAAAGATGATGGTAAAGAAAAAGCCTTTTACAAAATGGTGAATTTTCAACCTTGCTTTGATCTGTACAGTGTTAAGTTGAGTTTTCCACATCCGCTCGGTTTCCGAAAAAATAATAAGAATAATCTCCCAAGTAAAATTCATTCGATGTTTATCTCCCAAAATAATTCTTAGTACTTGAGTTTAAATGTCATTAAGTATTGCATATTATCTTTCTTCTTTGGGCTGTTAGGACAAGTTTTCGCACAAACACCACGCAAGTCATTTGCTGACCAACCTGTTTAAGGCGATCAACCTGTATTTAGCGGTCACCCCACCATTCCCTATTCCCGCTTAATACAGGTTCGGCCGTAACTGTTCAGTGCATTTTAAAAATTGTATTGTGTAAGTAACCATAATAAAGTGGCCTCAGAAATATGGTTGGGCTGAAATCATTCAAACAATTTATGAATAAAAAGCAGCTAATAAAAAACGGAGACTGCTTAGGATTCTATTCAAACTTACAAAGGACAACACTTTCCGCATCACTGCCCAAACTATTGGTTACGTTGCAGGTGTAAATACCATCACTGCTGACTTCCCCCAGGTTGAGTTTTGGCTCATCACAAACTTCTCCTTTTTTGCATGGATACCAAGTATATTTGGGTGGAGGATTTCCCTCAGCAGGACATTGAAGGGTAACAATTTGAAATGCTGCTACTGGGAGCTCATGCTGAAAATTTTCAATCTGGGGTGAATCTGTAGATGCAAAAATCTGGAATTAAAAATTCGTTCAATAAGACTGAACGATAGGCTCAGACAATAAATTTAACCACAAGGGCTCACCCTCTAGCCCTTTTGGACCGCCTCCGGATTGCAGTAGAGCAGCGTTTCAATGGGGTTCTCGCAAAGGTGGCCCTCTGCATTTCGGATTGAACTAGAGTTTTTCGTCATCACTATTGTGGGTTAAGACTCACTGCTCTGATCCCATCATAGCATTTATAGGCTGACTCATTGGATACTCTTAGATCCAGGTTGTTTCTGAATATGTGTGACCGCTAGGAATCACGTGACAAGACTCCTGCGGTCACGTTTGCCGTTTGCGGTCCATGTTTGAACGTTGGCGAGGCAGTTTCAGGTAGGTTAACTTCCCTGCCGCTCTTCTTCTTCCTGTTTCAAAGTTCTCGCGCATCTCTTGTAAATATATCCGATATGATGTCTTTTCTTTTTAATCAATCCGTTTGGGACGCTAGAAAACCAAACATTTTGCCATTCTCTGTATTTGAAAAGAAGGAACTCCATCCTTTGTGATTTTTTCAGTTGAAAGGGCACTTTGGTCTAAAAGCTGAAAAAATCTCAAAACCTCTAACTTCTAACCTCAAACCGCTGACCGCGGTTTTGACGTTTGCGATCGTCACATCAAACGTGGATCTAAAACTCTCTATTACATCTAGCGTTAGCCAGGAGTTCAAAGTTAGTGCCACTTCATTTCAAAAGCCTTCATTTTTGACTTGCTTGAATCAAAGCTTTGCTTTAATTTTCTTAATAGTTTATTTTTTTATTTTCACAGGTCTTCCAAACCAGTCAGACGGTTTTTTTTTTTGCAATACAGTGCGGTACATAGAACAGAAACGTCTGTAAAATTTCTGAGAAAGGAAACAACATTTTCATCAACACAAAAAAACAAGTTGAATTGATAATGTGAGTGGCACACGTTATTAGTTCAGAAATGGGGGACGGGTCGTTTCGATACCATCTGAAGTGTGTTCGATACATATACAAGGCGGTTTGGACACAACCTCAGTCATTTAGATTCAAACTACTATAGGATAAATTTGGATGCTTTAAACTGTCTACCTGCTTGACAATTGGAATTTAAGGTACAGATTGGCTCTACGAAGGAGATAACACGTCAGCACCTATGACTCAAGAGAGGCACAAGAATGGTGTACAAGTGAATTTGACGTCAGTGCTCGATCATAATTCCTATCAACATTATAACTTGACCGAGTTTAATCTGGAGCGAGGGCTTCGTGACTCCTCTCACTCGCAATTTTTGCATTCCCTTTCAAGCGCTTCTTTAGGTTAGTTCTAGCTTATAATGTAAACGTCCAATCATTCCTCCCCTAGTTTGTAACGAAATATCTGAATATGTATCGAGACGACTGTCTATAAGTATCGAATCGACTTGTATCGAAACGACTTTGTAACGAAACAAGCGTAAAATTTGAAATGCGCAGCCACTCAATAACAATTATGAAATCTATGATGTTAGGCACTAAACATGTCATTCAAATGCACACAATGTTGTAGACTCCTTAAACATGACTCACACGATTTCATCCCACGTTGGAATGAAGCTTTCCATGATGAAATTACTCATTGCTAATCAAACGCATACAAATCAATTTCTACTGGCCTCTCAATAGCCCATTTCCGAATTACCCTTGGCCTCATTTTCAAAAGGAGTCCTGGTGCTCATCCTTTCATATGATGATAAGTTTTCATTCACATGCAAATTAAACTCATTTTTACAAGAATGGTTAAGCACCAGGCATCGTTTTGAAAAAGAGGCCAAAAGTAATTCGGAAATTGCCTATTTAGCCGCTATAGAGAGCAATTTGCAATAGTTACATCTTTTGTTAGCGTTGAGTATTCAGGATATTAAGGGCATTTTTTTCAACCAACGTTTCTATCCGCATTTAGCTGTGCCTCCAACCTTCAATGGCAACTTGGTGCGAGCCTGAACAAAATTCGAATGAACAATTCCGCTACAGGAGTCTGCGACTGGCTAATAAAACGTACAAGTATGCAACAGACCACCAGCTAGCTACCCGATTCTTATGCCTGTGGCACATGCAGAGCTCGACACTAACTTTTCAACTTATTAGGCAAGTGGCTAGTGACAGCTTAGATGTTCCAACAACTTCAGATTGTTTTACTAGCCAAACTAGCTGGTGGAAATTGAAAACCACTCACCAAAACTGAATTTCTACTAGGCTGTAGCTAGTTGACTGCCGTCAGTGTTGAGCTCTGACATGGGGAGCTCTGGCACCCACCGTCTACACACTGGTAAACGACTCACCTACGTGGCACTTACAGGGGGAGGGGGAGGCTGACACCCAGTGTTCTGTGAGTTTGGAGATTGTTAGCACCACTAATACATGTAGCTTTTTACTCCAAGAGTTTCTTGGGGTAAAAACCTATAGCTTGATTTTGAAGGTCTGCGTTAGTGAACACACTGTAAGTGTCCATGTATTCGAACTCCTGCAGTATAGTCCTTTAAAATTTATTTCAGTGAACACTGTAATATAACTCAATCAAGTATACAAGGTTCCTTTCATATCTTATTATTTGCCTTCTTTTTTTAGTGTACATGTATACTGTTTGCTTGATTCAGAAGAAAATGTATGCATGTTCAATAACCTACATGCATGCATAATTAAACAAAAAATTTATTTGTGGGCATAACTGTTGGGTGTTTGTGGAAACGTTCACTTAAGTCTATGTCAGTTAAAAGGTTCCAATTACGATGACAAAAAAAAAATTATATGTTAAATTCCTTTACACTGTTTCCTAAATTGACATCCCAAATCCCATTTATCTGCACTTTCCTGACAATTTCAGACACATTTCTACTTTGTTAGCAATTAATACATATTTCCCAGGGCTGAGTTTTGATCCTAGCCAAAAACGGAATCTTCTTAAAAAAAAATTAGCGTACTTACAAGTTACGTTGACATGCATTGCATGGGTCAATGCATTTCCAAATCCATTGCTAGCTGTACAACGATATGTTCCATTCATGGTCCTTTTGATGTCTCTTATAAACCAAGGGTTTCCAACAAACACCTCATCGCCGTTACTCCCATCATCCAACACTCTTGTCCAAGTAACATTGGCAAGTGGTTTACCAGTTGTGTTACAGAACAAAGCACGATCGGAGTTCTCATTAATGAATTGGTCACCACTCTTACCAGTAAACTGGGTTTGCTCTAATAATGGAACATATTCATAGCACATGTTCAGTGATATTACAGTTCATCGTATGTACATGTATAATTATCCAGGTCAGGGATTTCTGGGGATGCAGAGGTAGAAGTAAACCAAAGGAGTGATAAGCCTGCAGCAGATACATGTCTTACACTATACTTTTCAATGCCTAAATGGACAAAAAGTGAGATAAATGACTACACTCACTGAGGTCACAACGAAAAACAAGTTACAATTTCATAGTGGTCTAGTAGGGAACACTGCAAAAATAGCCTGAGCATTTGTTTATTGGGCAACAATTTACAGCACTTATGAAGAGAATTTGCAGAAGAAAAAGTCAGTCACCTGCTGGCAACCGTCTGTCAAATCTGTTCTTCAATATTTTCTCATCTCTATTGAGGACCTTGCCATACCAATGACTAGGGCTGTGACGTACATTTACATGTACGAGTAATTTAACCAATAAATTTTTGAAGTTTAATAATGTGACTGGGTGGCCACTGTATTGGATGCTCTAAAAGATTAATCATGAAATTCTAAGACTTCCGCAGGCACGACATCAACGGGTTGGTGAAAAACCATGTTGTTATCATAGCTCACATGATCCTAGCAAGTTCAGCTTGATTCTGATTTGAATTTTAGTGGCTGATTGTGGCCATTGCTTTACAGATGACAGAAGGTGTGTAATGTGTTATGCATATTAAAAGAGAAATGTCTTGTTTATTGCATTCACAAGAGATAATTGGCATAGGTAATAAATGTTTAGCAAATGACAGCAAAATGATCCAAGAAAACACGGTTACTCATTTCAGTTCGAGCTTTTGTTTACCGTATCTTTGGCCAGGAGTCCCTGCATGGGTTACATTCTTTTGCAAATTCAGCAATATGTTGCTAAATGTATTTTAATTACATAACCACCACAAACATAGCGGGTGTCCAGGGGAAGTGCTTGTTACTCATTTCAATTGGAGTATTTGCTTACAGTTTGTCTAGATGAACTTTAAAGATCTGCGTGTTTGGAAAATGCGGGAACAAAGTTAGAGATTCAAGGTAACTTGAGAATTTTACTAATTTAATCGAATTCACCTAGGTAAATTCATCTTAGGTCTCTAAGTCAAAGGGTCATGCCAACCTCTATCACCGGTATCTGGGTTAAAATAACAAGACTCAAATATCATTCTTACAAAACATTTTTGGCGCACAACTAAACTTTGTAAACAAGTGGCTACCGTTTCATCTCGAGTTAATCTGTATCCGGTTTAAGTGACAAATACACTTGACATTTTCCCGTGTTTTTGATTTTCTTTCACGCCTTGTACAGCTTTGAAGTTTGAAGCTATTAGTCCACACAGTTCTTAAATTGTCTTTAATGTGACAGGCGCCATCATGGCTGCCACGTGTTTAAGTGCTGCGGTGTTTATCGTTTTATCTACTGGAACTTCGCGAAACTGTAAAGATATCTTTTAAACGGCTCGTCGCCTTCGATCAGAATTCAGAACTTTGTTTTTTTTGTTTTTGTTTTTTTTTTGTTTTAACAACTTTACCGGGTGTGACTAGACCCGGAAGGGTTAGTGCGAACGGAACACAAGATCCATGCGAGGCACCACCCCTCCTCCTAATTCACCCTGGATAGACACTGCACAAAGATAGACCACAACACCGGGCACTACGTGCCCTACTCTTTTTTCGAGGAGCGTGTGGGTTCTTTAACGTCCCACAAATTTAAATCACATATCAAGGGCTTGTGATACGGGGCCTCCATTTATCTTCCCTATCTAAGAAGACTAGAAAGTCTAACCATTTGCAGATGTTATTACAAAGGCAGCACTTTCTACTCAGTTATTTAAAGACCCAGAGTCTTGGTCCGGCCGGATTTGAACTCTCGACCTCCCGCACAACAGTCCGGTGCTATACTAATTGAGCAAACCGGGAGGCGGTTAGAGAACATTGAGCTTTGGTCAAGTATGAGTCTTATAAAGGCAAACCTAACTAAGACATGGGAATTACTTACGAGGAAAGACCAAAAAAAACCCTCCTGGGACTGTGCTCACTACAGAAAGAAAGAGCGAACTTAAATTATTGGGAGTAACCTTTCAGGAAAATTCATCCATCTGGGACACTCATTATCAGAATATGATGGATAAGGCTAATTCAAGACTCTATATCCTCAGAATTTGTAAGTGCTATGGGTACACTTAGAAGACCTTACGATCTTATTTCAGAGCTTAATTATGTCCGTATTTAAATACGCAATTGAAGTAGGGGCATGCGCTTATGGTGGTAAATACCTCTCTAAGATCGATAAATTCTACAAGCGAGCATGGAAATATAGCTACACCAAGGAGCGCAAATTCATCAATGTTGTAATTCAAACAAGGGATAAACAACTATGGGAAAAAATCACAGCTACAGACACACATTGTTTAACAGATCTTCTACCGAACAAACGTAAATATCAATCTTTACGTCAACGTGGTCATGACTATATGCTACTACGTATTCGCACAGAGCGCTTTATCCGCTGCTTTGTAAATAGATCTCTTTTTAATTTTATCTGGTTGAATGGTTGTAAAGAAAGAAATGTTTTTTAGATAAATGCTTTTCTATTGTAATGTAGACTTGCACGTGTGTCTGCAAGGGTTTGGTTTAATTAATCAATGAAGATTTTTCATCCATTCAGGCATTAAATATGCCTCTTTGCCAGATTAGTTCCTGTTTGAAGACCTTTTGAGCGCTACTAAGATTAGTTCCTGTTCTTGGGGACCCTTCTGTAAATCCCCGCATAAAATTAAAGTTTTATTTTCAACCTTCAAGTTTCACTTTCAACGATCAAGTTTCATTTTTAATACTCAAGTTTTATTTTCAACATTCAAATTTTCTTTTATTATTCAAAATTTTGTGCCAAAATCGGCATTTAAGTCTTTGCTTGAACTCAGTCCGTCGACAACATACACCTTTTAAGTTCAAAGCTCTAGTTTTGATTTGAACTTCACGCTTGACTACGTCATACCAATGATCATGCGCACTGGCAGTCTATCTAGCATTTTTTGCTGATGTACACGCCATGTTATGGCCTTTCTAAGTTTGGTTAATAACATGTCAGGCAGAATTGCAGGAACGCTCGATAGAGCCGATCCTTTAAATAACCTGGCTGGCAAAGTTTTCTGTAATACTCGAGGATTCTTGTTATACATACATACATACATACATAGGTTAATTGACCACTCCCCACAGGGGCTTTACAGGGCCAACACCCACCCATCCCACCCAGGGGAGGACATCCACCACACAGTAATCTCGTGCGTGGGAAATTAATGTCTCCTACCCCTAACCCTGCAGGAGACGGGGCCCACGGTTTATTCGTCCTTATCCGAGAAGACTAGAATATCTATCCAACTCTTGATTATAGAAAGGTAGCAAGTTCTCATCACTTATTTTAAGACCATGAAATTGTGGCGGCTTTTTTTGCAGAATATTTGCTGGAATTCCTAATATCAACTTATGAGAGACGGAAAATTAAATTTTTAAAGATGTTTTAATGACTGACAATCACGCACTGCTCCCTTTTCCTGGCTCACAGAGATAAGATAGTAAGCCGACAGGACAAATAAAAAAGAAAAAAAGATAAACGTTTTTGCTGCGTTGACGCAGTTTTCCTTACCAACACCAAACGTTTCTGAGTGTGTGGTGCATAGGACGCAAATTGATCAATAGGCACAGTCAAGATGACTTTTGTATCAATAGTTTTCTGTGCTACAAGCTTTAGCCCACAGCGAAAGAAAAATCCAGCGGGGGAAAAAAAAATCCACACAAACCTATCCACAAAAAACTGTATTTTGATATATCAACAAATTTTGTGAACTGATTTCCAATGGAAATTTCTGGCAGCTAAGGAAAAGAAATACAAACGAGATCTTGAGAGTTTAAATATAAGCCGCACGGGGTTATTACTGGTGCGAATAACTTAAAAAGGCGCAAGTGTTTGTACTTTGAGGGAGTTGACAGCACGTTGAACTGCTTGACTTTAGAGAAAACTTCGGACGGGACCAGGTAGGTCGTGAACCGTAAGTAATCATCATTTCGACCTTACCTTAAAGACTATACGAACACTTTACCACACGGGAATGGTTCCATTAATCATCAAATCTAACAGTGGTTTTTGGTTGTTTTACGGATTACAGTCTTTGAACGGTCGTAATTCGAACTTGTAGAAATTTTACAGAATAGTTTGGTGAGGGTCTTAGTTTTCATAATTACGAAAACTAAGAGAGGTCTTAGTTTTCGAAATTACGAAAACCGAGCCCCTAGATTTGCCGTTAAATTTGACCTAAAACACGCTGGAAAGGATCGGACAGGACATAATTTGACAGGTTAGACCTATTTTGGTTACAACTTGACTTTATATTTCGACGGATTCGATTTTAGGAGGTCTTACTTTTCGTAATCTCGAAAACTAAGACGGGTCTTGGGTCTTAGGTCTTAGGTCTTAGTTCTCGAGGGTCGTGGTTTTCGTAACACCCTCCGCTTACCTATGAGAAATGCAGTGAACTTCGTCAATTGCAATCAGACACAAACTCTCTTTAAACAGGCATGGACCGCCATCGTTTCGTTGACAGAAACGCGACGTTCTATGAGTGACTGGTCTCTTCAATCGTTTGTTCGTCCCAAATAAACCTCACTGTAATCCTCACAAATTTAAGAAATCGAACTTGATCTACCCAAAAGAAAAACCAGAGAAGAAAGGACAAGGGAGGATTGACTCCGCATTTAACAATGCCTCGTATAATGTCTCCTCGTCAAAAACAATCGGCGCGGACTGAAAAATCAGCGACCTTCCGAGTCAGTTGGTTGGAGTCACGAAGACATGCAGGCTGCTAACCAGCTTCTCTAGAGCTTCTCGTCGTAAATCTTTCAAACTTTCGATCTTCATCGTCACTGAAATCCGTTCGCATGCCACATTCATCACATCATTGTCGTCCACCATTTTGAAAACTTTGTCTGACAAGATACTTTTCGCAGCCTTACAAAAATCTGCAGGCGAAATTTTGATTTGGCTATAAGCAACAAAGGAAACCTTACGCGTCCAGCCGTCTCCTCAGGGAGGAGCGCGGGCTCCGGTTTCCGAACAGCGGCTGGTAATCGAGCCCAGTTAGAAATGGGTTACCTTTTTACCCGGGCTTTCCGAAGGAAACGCTCGAGGTATAAATTCGGCTTCGTTTTTATTTTTGTTGGTTTTTTTTTTGCGTTCAGTCACAAAACGCAGTTCCACTACAGCGCATGCGTGAAGTGTAACCGCATGCGTAGAATGGACCCTGAGCACATGGTTTAAAGTAATGGCTGCCTTCCAGACAGTCCTTTTTAATGCAGACAGAATTACCCACACTTTTAAATGAATTCAAGAAGCCGCAATAAAAGGATATGAGTGCTGTACCTCCTTAGATAGAGCCTTTCAATCACCTATATCCGAAAATTTCAACAATTTTGTATTGACAATAGGGTGTACTGCAGTTGCTATCTATTGTAAAGGTAACATGGGCTTGAAAGTATTCGATTCTCACGCAAGGGTATTTATGGCAGAAGCCATCCTCAAGTTACTTTTGCGCTGCTTGAAGTATCATCACTGAATAGCTTAGTACATTAGTTTTAGAGTATACATAACAATGATATATTTCAGTTGAAAGGGGTTCAAATTAATAAAGTTCAAAATAGTACCCTTTTTCAGAGTCATGCCTGTGAAACCAGAAAGTTCACTGTGAGTTGTGCTGTGGCTGTCTATTCACTCTGCTACTCCATAATAAAATCATGCAGTTATTGGAATTCAAACACCTTATCTAATATCATTCAGTACGGCAAAAGATTATAGGAAAATTCATCTTTAAACAAGTGTTAACCATCCGATGATTTGCCAAAAACTGTTGATACTTGTGGAACTGAGGTAAGTTTAGATCCTAAAAGTGATTACAGTGAAGAAATATTGTCTGGTTCAGTTGACAGCCAATCAATTCTCGAAAATCTTGTAAGAAATAACAGTGAATGCACGGGGTTTTGATGTGGTTTTCAGTTATTTGTAAGACGTATTTTTAAACCCACAAAAAGGTAAAAATATGTGTATTCCCTCTTGGTATTTAATGAAAGTCAAATGCCCCTGATTGAATTTAGTAAAACTGTAAATAGCACTGGAGCTTCTCTTGTTGTGGTCATCAGCAATATTCAGAGATTTTCTATTCAAAACAATTAATTCTCTGAGGTTCTGTTCTACAGACGCTTTGTTGATGATACCTTTTGTTTGTTCAATAGCGAGGAGGACGCGCTCGTGTTCTTTGATTATATCCGTAGGTACTAAAAGTTGGAATCACCTGAAACCACCTGAAACCATCTGGAACCACCTGAAACCATCTGAAACCACCGATGAAACCACCTGAAATTTACTAAGGCAGTGGAATTTAAAGCCACCATTCATCAGCTAAATTCTGTCATTTGCAGTAAAATACCTTGCAAAAAATCCCCATATATTCACTTTTGCAAAAACAAAGTCAGTGAAATTTTAGGTCACGCTAGAAATTCGTCTCTGATTAAAAAGAAACAATGTTCAAAATTTCCTTAGGAAGTTTGAAAATCTTCATGTTTTAAATTGTTTCGAGATATTTTCAGGTAATTTCAGATGGTTTCCTTGGGGGTTTTAGATGGTTTCAGGTGGTTTCATCGGTAATTTCAGATGATTTCAGATGGTTTCAGATGGTTTCGGGTGATTTCAGATGGTTTCAGTTGGTTTCAGGTGATTCCAACTTTTAGTACCTACGTGATGATATCAACGCCAGGCATCCTAGTATTCGTTTCACAATGGAAAAGGAAAATGATAAGAAATTATTGATTGTACCAAATTAGGTTTAGTCAGAACATTGATTGACAGAGCATTTATCATCAATAATTCTTGAGTTGGTTTTCATCTGGATGTCAATAAACTTATTTTCTTGCTACGGAAAAATTGTTTTCCATCTTGGGTCATAGACAAAATCATTTACAGGTATCTAGCGAAGAAAAATAATCCTTCTCCTACTGGGCAGAACGCCTCTTCTAACTTCGGTAAACCTTCTTCTCACTATCATAAACTTCCCTATGTTGGTCGGTTTTCGAACACCGCTCAGACTAAGTTAAGACAACTACTCAAACGTTATTGTAGAGCTGATTTAGATGTTAAGTTAGTCTTAGTACGTTTAAACTCTGAAACATGTTCAGTGTGAAAGATTCAGTACCGCTGGGTCTACGTTCGCGTGTCGTATATAAATTTTCGTGTGCTGGCTGTAATGTCAGTTATATTGGTGAGACCACTCGCCACATTTGTATACGAGTTCGTGAGCACCTCATGTCGGACAAAATTTCGCATATTTACAAGCACCTGCAATCATCAAGGGCCTGTCTTGACTCTTGTGATACTGAATGTTTCACGATCTTAGACTCTGCCGCTTCAAAATACCAAATTAAGATCAAAGAGGCAATGCATATTAAGTGGGAAAAACCCATTCTTAATCAGCAATTGAAACATCTAGAGTTGTCTCTTTCCTTTTAATTATGTTGTTCCTCGGTCTTTTATTTTATTATTATTATTATTATTATTATTATTATTATTATTATTTTGATCTAGCCAAGCGCGCTATTTACATTTTTCGCGTTTTTAACATTCAAATGTAACGTAAGCCCTGAAACGTAATTTGTAACGTACCTTAATATAAATTCAAATGTACAACCGTTAAATTCTCATTTGCAACTGAAGATGACACGAGAACGTCGAAACATGTCTTGTAAATTTAAACTCAAAGTTGTTGTTTCTTTTTTGAGAGTCATTGAAAAGTCCTTGAATTTCAACCTTTTGGCATATGTAGGAACCTACTCCTATATGATATTATATAATTTTGATTGTTGTCTGGTACCATAACAACATTCATTACACTCCAGCAAACAAAAATAAACACAGGTAGACTTATTCATGACCGGCAATGATGAAATTTCGTGACGTCAGTAACGATGGCAAAATAGCAGTCCCTAAAGATAACTCCAGATGTGCGATATTGAAAGCCTGAGTTCACGCAGCTATGCGTGTAGTTTCTATGTAAACAATCTGCGAGGGTCACCCTCTTACCTGAGACAATTTTTCTCCACATAAACTGGGCCTTAAAAGGGATTCAAATGGAGACACATCAGAAACAAATGATTTGAATGAAAAAGACACTGGGTCCTGAGGCCCTCCATGGATTGTGCTCTGAGTAACAACTGACTGTTATTGTCTTGACAGTTCCTAGCATTCAAACGGCTTCTTTCTCAGATACAAAACTACAGCTACAGTCAAACCTGTGTTACGGGGTCTCCCACGGGGAATGAATCTCACAGAATAGCGGTATTGTAAAAAAACAATAAAAACGTCATTTTATGTCATAACTGACCCCTAAATGTACAAAAACTCACTCAAAACTACTATTAACATTGATTTTGGGAGATAAACATGGGTGAAATTTTCCTTGAAAGACAATTATCAATTTAATTTGAGGGGTTCTGCCTTAAGGTGATTTCTCAGAAAGAAGTTGTCAAACAAAATTAATGTTTTCAAGCTTCCCTTAAATGTTCTCTTATAATGTCTGTTTCGAAGTATACAATAGAACAAATAGGCCACCTAACTTGTTTAAGAGACGTACTGAGCCAATCTTACCATCTTTATGCCTGTGCTGACACTAATCACGCGCGTTATTTTATCGGTTCACGGTACATTTTGTTGTGGCCGGAAGCAAGGTTTCAAAAATAATATTAATAAAATCAAATTTGCTTGATTAAAAGGGAAAAAAATATCCCATGGTTTTCAATGTAAAAAAAAAAAAAAAGAAGGAAAAATTGTCAAAAGATTTTGGCCGACACGTCAAGTGTAACCTTGCACTTGAAAATGTTGTGTTTGGCAGCATTTTTAAGGCCTTGGTAACATTTTGTTTCACAGACCTTCCAGATGGTAAAAAACATACCTAAATTCAGGGAAGTATCATTTCTATAAATCAAGGCTCCACAATTTTACTATTCCACTTATTTAAAAGAAAAAAGGGAAATATTAGCTTGCAGATAGATTGTTTTGTATCATATAATCATAACAAGCTTTCTATTTGTCCTCAAAGAAATGATCTCTGCCTCGTGTAAACTGAAGAAAAACTAACTGTAACCCAACAGGATATCAAAGGGATTAGAGTGCAGAGAACTTTAGACTAGTGGAAGTGCATAAACAGTATTTCAACATGCATGAGTGGTTAATGCTGGTGTACATATCAAAGGCTTTTATTTTATCCTCCATTAATGCCCATTGGTGCAATTGATTATGGTACTTTTCCTCACCTACTATTTCCACTTGAATCTTACGCTCCCAGTCCCCATTACTTAAAGTGGCCACCACACAGCTGAATGCTCCATTCACCTTATCATCAGCACTAGTAACCTTAGAAATAACCAAAGCAACTCTTCCAGGGAGATTCCAGTTTACACTGAAGCGGTCTCTGAATGCAGCAGTTATCCCACCACTTCCTCCATTTGGCAAAAGTCTCACTATCGTATCCGAATTGAATTTAACGGTCACTGAAGTGAAGCTTAAATTTTGAGAAAGTCTGAACTCCCACAGAAGTGTAGCAGCTTGTCCATTAAAATGTCGTGAAACGTTTGGGGCAAACATATCACTTGAACTTCTTGCTATTTCAACTGGAGGAGGTTTATACCAAATAATTTGCGTGCCATCTACATGTGAAAATAGTACACAAATTAATAGCTATCTAAACAATTTTAATTTTTAAAAAAAAACTAAGTTGCAAATACTTAGGGAACTCCACCAAGATCAATTAACCTTACTATGTCAACAAGCATGAAAAAGCATATTTTACAAGGGTGTTATTAAGGGTTAAGCAGCCTAGCCAAATTGATCAGCTGTGAAGACAACTTTGCCCCACTGCTTTAAAAAGGTTATAACCAAAAGAACACTCTCAGTTACTACCCTTACAGTAATCATCAGCAGCAGTTAGAAACAGAATAAAACTTGCAGCCACATCATGAACTCTGTGCTTGGGCCTCAAACTACACCTGTACATCAATTTTTACAACCTATTACGTCTTATTAAAAATTGATTAAGTATCTGCTCAGTGGCAAGAGATAGGTCCTACAGATCATTAATTGTGCTTATGTTTTCTTTTTCATCATATCATTACTGTTCGTTGCTTCTCGTTTACACAAAACATTTTGCTCTGAAAGCAAGGCCCTGGTCTGGAAATGTTCATGAAGGCTGAGCTTGAAAAGTTTGGTAGAAGTTTCACAACTTTGTGTGCAGGATAAAGGGGTTGAAATTGTACCCTCTGTAATCCAGCACGGAAAGAAGGCTGTGATAGAAACTCCCTTTGATTTTATTACATCTACAGTATAAATCAGTTTCTACACCACTTTCTTGCGATAGGTAATGTACATGTGGCGGCTCTTTGTTGATGGCTAGTAGATTCTAATTTGATTGCCTCTCCAGTGGAAGCCAGGCTGAGATGAGCAACTCCTTATAGCTTCCATTAATACCACCCATTGATTGCTTATGATATGTTAGATATGATCGACTTTTTTTTCTGGAGGTTAGAAAGAGAAAGGAAGTGGTTTAAATACAAACAAATATAATTATACTTCTGAATAAAGGCTGATAGTTTCGAAAGAAACTGTTTGGGGCTGCGCCGGTGGGAATAACGAAATAATTTGGATATATCAACAAAGTTGAAATGGTAAATTGGCCACCGTAACGATTACAAAAGCTGACGTTTCGAGCGTTAGCCCTTCGTCGGAGCGAATGAATAATTATACTTCTGCCATTTTGAACACATTTAAGATCTCTCCTTGATCACCTAGCTTTCATTTTGGATCATTTGACTTGCAAGTTGCAACATTTAAATACGACACCTTTCAAAAAAACATTTAACTCTTGACAGTTAATATAAGGTCACAATTTTAATTCTTTGTTTCACTGTTTTTTTTTCTCTTTTGTTCGCTTCTTGAAATTTTTTCTCTTTTACATACATGTACATGTAGTGAGTTTTCTCATTTAGTTAACCCTACAAACAGTCAATTGCTTGCATAATATACACGTATAGTAGTAATAAAAAGTAATGTGATCTACATCCTGTAGTATAATTCATGTTAGTTACGACAGTTTTAGTAAGAAGTGATAGTAATTGTAATTTAGTAATAACTTTGCTTTTGGCTAGTTCTGCAAATAATGTTAGTTTTGTAATTTATACTTTTTGGATAAAATAAAAAAAACAAATGACATAAAAGGAGATAAAAAGAGGTTGAGTGAAGCGAGAGTTAGATAATATTTTCTAAACTATAGCTTCCTGGGGCCTGCAAATGCAGGTTTAAATTCTTGGGACACTTAACACAACATTTTACCACAATCTAAATTATTTCCCCCTCTCCCCCTAACAATGTTGAATTTTGTGCACTTGTGTACAGCATGATGATTGCTCAGTTTTACCAACATTGCTAGAGGGGTGAAGGGATGTTCTGTGCACATGCCTGAATTGGAAAAAAGTGGTCTATTTAAATATATTTGGATAAGGGATGTGTTTTCAATAATTGTCCCAAGGAGTTTGACCCCAATTGTAACCATTCAGTTTGTAATCTACCATCACACAGTCACACAAACTACTCCCTCAAGCTCAAACACCGACACATTCAACAGAAAACCACAAAATGTTCAGGTCAATTCTAAGTATTGTATACCTATAGAAGAGAAGAAAATGTACATGCAAAACAATATTCTGCATATTGACACTGCTTAAGGTTTCCAAGTGACTTGTATTGATATCTGGACGAAAATAACATCAGCTTTATTAGCTATAGCTAAAAAACAGCACATTCCAGCAGATATCCATTCCCCTATTCACTCAGCTACTGAATTCTTCTCAATAATTTATTGCTATTTTACTCCAAAAAGAAAATGCTTCTTGTAGCTTAGAGTTCAAAACTCCTTTTAAGGTGGCTCGTACCGGTTTTCATCTTTTTGATGGTTTGTAACTTTGAAAGAAGGCAACAGAAAGACTGACCAAGGCCAGTTGAACACTTTTACGGGGTTGAATTATACAATCATTGGTTACCGCCTCCCGGTTAGCTCAATGGATAGAGCGCTGGACTGTTGTGCGGGAGGTCGAGGGTTTAAGCCCCGGCCGGACCAACACTCATGGTCTTAAAATGATTGAGAAGAACATGCTACCTTTCTCAAACGTTAACATCACGAAATGGTTAGATATTCTAGTCTTCTCGGATAGGGACGAATAAATGGAGGTCCCGTCTCCTGCAGGGTTAGGGGCAGGAGACGTTAATTTCCCACGCACGAGATCACTGTGTGATGGATGTCCTCCCCTGGAGTGGGATGGGTGGGAAAATAGCAGGTCCACATCAGCTATATAGCT